CTCGCTGGGTACCGGCACGACTTTCGGGGCTGCGGCCTCTCGGAATGTCTGGTTCCGCGAGAGGTAGGCCAAGTGCGCTTTCACACAGTGCCCGTCTTCCCAACGGAATTCGCAGTCGCTGAAGCTGCCATCGAGAGCCTTTTGCATCAGCCGCAGAGGCTCCTACGGAAACTAGGCCTTCCAAGACCAACCAAGTCAAAACTCACGCGGAACTCTGGCTGCTTTGCATCGCGAGCTCGAGGCCCCGAGAAAGTGGGGGTTGAGGGCTGTTGTATGGTCTGCTGAAGCGCTCAAGGTGCGTGCAATGTCTCCCTAGCTGGTTGCTTTGTTGAAACAGTTCGGGGTGCTATTGCCCTCTACGGCTAGGCAAACCCACATGCAACCTCGTAGAGTAGAAAAACTAGAAAAATTAACCGAATCAGATCTACAACTCCAGTAAACAATTCTTGCTATGAAGGCTATTGAAAATCACGGTCTAGGGCTGAATTGGTTGTACGACGGTTAAATGATCGCTAGGTCCCGCTGATGTTACGAGGAAACGATTCGAGGATTGCGCCGAGTCTTCCGGCGCATCCTCCTCAAATCATGCTGCAGATCGATCTGAGCCAGCGCACGCAGGCAGGATGGTCACTGCTGAAGGCAACTGCATTCCAGTATAGCACGGTACTCCATGCTGCTGCGTACTAGAGAGGGTCCTGCCGCCCAAGCCCCTTTGAGGTACGTTTCTAGGATTACGATTTAGGGTATTGAGGGTGTACTTGCTAGGACTAGAAGTACGGATGGCTATGCTAAACTCCCTTTGGAAGATACACCAAAACTGTGTTTTTGGAGATCCCTTTAAATGAAGCCAGAACCCCAGAAAGGAAATCACTGAAAGTAAGCAAGGGCGTCAGGGAAGACCGTATAGAACCCTTTAAAACCTGTACAGCCAAACAAAGACCCTATGGTAAGGCAGGCTTATCACCCCTCTTGCTAAGTCTGCCGGTCTCAAGACAAATCTAGCATAGGCACCTTAATAACGAGAGTTGGCTGTTGAGGTACTGCTACAAAGTATTAGTAACTACAAACCCTACGGGAAAATCTTCACCAACTATACTACGCATCCCTTTGAACCATGAGGAATATCATACCCTAAACCTTGGATACTGCCCCCACTCAGCAAGGGTTGGGTAACGTTCATAATATGGATATATAAGGCCCGGCTTAGTAGCCCGATTATAGACTGTTGCTGTATGGGGGCAGTACAGTACCCAACCTAAACCCTATACCCTGTGAGCCCTGAAAACCCTAAACCCATTAGCAATTACTGAGGCCCCAAATTTTGGACCCTCTTTCTTCAAGGCCGCCACACCGGAGTCGCACTCGCGCACGTTGCAGAAGCCTGGCATGAAGGAGACTGGCTTATATGGGTAGTTCTATAAATTAGAATCCTTGTTGAGGTCCCCATTATAGTACGGCACCCTTATAAAACGGCCCCCAAAAGGGGCTCTGATTTAGAGAACTACCCATGGCTTCTATAGGACTTGAGTGAGGCCTTAATAGTAGGTATACAAGATATAGTAGAGGGTAGTTGTGGGGCCTAGGTAACCAACTAGGTGTAGGTCTGCATGGTTTGCCACGAATAGAAGGATGAAAACAAATGTCGGAAAAAGCAGCCACTTCACGTGTTTGCATATTCAGGTGGTACATCGACTATGCACACATCATGCGAGCCAGGATGGATGGAGGAAAGCCCCCTGATGAGAATGCCTGAACATTCGTCATTCTCCACGGATGCAGCACAACAAACAGTGACCGGCGAGAGTCCAGAAAGGGCTCCTCGCTCCAAAAATGACGTGCAAATCCAGATCTGTATAATATATATATATACATATATATATATATACACACACACATGTGCATGATGATGCTTGCAAACCGTATGGCAACAGAGAAACATTTATACACATACAGATATGCATATGCGTATACATAAAAAAACAATGAGTAAAAGAATATGTATGAATGTATGTGATTATGTGTCTATACATATATGTATATGTACATATTTATTTATTTATATTTATCTATATTTACCTATTTATGTATTTATTTATGTATTTATTTATTTTTGTGTGCAGGTGTTGTATATTAATGTACACGCACACATGATCATCAAGCCACATTTTTCCAAGCTCCGAAAGCCACAGCAAACTTCATGATTCCTAGGACAACACCTCCACATGCTAATGTGCCCTTTCGTCTCGCCTTTGTTCAGGTATTCCAGGCCTTGCTTTGTAAAGCTTCTCTGATATCAAGAGAAGCAGATGACAAAGAACCAACAGCTCTGAACCATGTCAGCCGGCTTACATTGCAGTCTGCTTCGCGGTTCTGTTTGCAAAGGAATGAGGCCAAAAATCGTGGTACGGCGATACTTCGAAGCTCATATGCATTTCAAAGAAGTCACAGTTTCTCAGAGACACAAGGTTAGATGGTTACATGGGTGTATACCGTACATGTATACACAAACCCACATGTGCCAGCACATACGCCAGATGACACGATTTGATGCAATCCTACATATGTGAGCCCATCTACCCTAAACGCAAAACCCAGAGTTGCAAGGTCAACTCATAGAAGCAACCTGCAGCCTGCGGGAAACTGGTTGACACCATTGCTTGAACCCCACAGTCAACTGCGGGGTTCTTGGGGGTCATTGGCGTGGTCGGAATTTAACGGAATTTGGGATTTATTAGGAGTGATTCCTGTGGTTCGGGCTCTTCTAGCTTCGCGTTGGGGGTGTTCGATTGCTCCAGTTCGCAAGCCAACTGATAGTTTCGGATGCTGGCAGCTCCACCAAGCACAACAAATGGATGCCCTTACACGCTCTGTAGGGAATTGACATCAGTGCCGGCACAGCGCGGAGACTGAGAAGATCGAAAGCTTGTAAACAACAGCTCAGTTGCAGCTTGCGCCTACCCTAAGCCCCTGAACCCTAAACGCTAAACCCTAAACCCTTAAACCTTCTTGCTGAACTTGAACCATCGAGCCGTCACACAAACCACAGGTGCATCTCGATTCAACCGAGATCTGGGTTTCAGACTGAGGAAGTCTATTGTTGCTTGAACTTACATCTTTCTCATGTGTAGCCATAGCATTCGTAGTTTCGCCATCATATATTTTATGAGCCGTAAAAACCCTGAACCCTGTTTATGAATTGGCGCGGTTACGGGCTTTTGGCACTGCTGCCACCTGCAAACTGCAGACCTCTGATTCCTGCACGAAGCAGCTCAAACTCACTGCACGAGGCTCGTGTCTGCCTTAAACCCGAAATCCTAAACTCAAGCACCCTGGCCGTCGCACCCGAAAGCCTAAAGCATCCGCCTGCCGTTTCTCAAACGTATCCTTGGCGCATCTTGCAAAGGTTGGCTTTGCCTTCGCTCTATGTAGCTCTCTTGAAACGTGTCCGGGGTGAGCTGTCTGCTTCTGGCAAACTCCTGAACTTCGCACAGGATGCAATGCAGACTCGATGACCTTAAAAGGGTGCAGCTGCCGTGTATGTGCATCTGTATGTATGTATGTATGTATGTATGCATGCATGTATGTATGTATGTATGCATGCATGCATTCTTTTATGTGTGTGTATGTGTGTGTGTGTATATATATATGTGTGTGTGTGTGTGTGTGCGTGTGTGTGCGTGCGAGTGGATGTGCAATGATGTGTATATTTTCAGCTATCATAAGATGAACTTTCAACCGAAAGCTGCTGCATGGGTATCGCATCGTCTGGCAGCTGCACCTTCGCCTGAGACGTGACATGAAGGAAGCAGGTGGCCCTGCAAGGATTCACTTGCAGACGCTGAGAGGGTTGAGGCTTCAGAGATCCTCAGTCGTTCGAGAAACCCTCAACCTTTAAACCCTGTACCCTAGGTTTTAGGGTTTAGGGTTTAAGCCCTACACCTTGGACCTGCAAGTGCGTCGAATATGTCCGGACAGTCCTTCCATGTTGACTCGTTGACTGGCTTCTGCAGGGAAACTGTGTTCCAGAAGGCTGGGAAACTGCTTTCGTCTGTCAGCAGCTTCGCTGGCCCAGACGCGCAAGCCATACCTAGATTAACCTATGGTCAATTGACTTGGCTCTGAACAAGGCATTTCGAAGACGGAAACCCGACTCACAAGCTGCCGATTCACTCTGTTTTCTTCAAGAAACTTGAACGGCAGATCTATGGACATATGGTTTACGGTGTAGGGAGTTTAAGGCCTCGAAAGCAACCCTGTCTAGACCCCACACTCTCGTGCCAGTCGGGGCCGGGGTGCCCAACGCACGTGATGCTCAGCACGACCAACGAGCAATGAGACCTTTTGGGGTTTTAGGGCTTATATGAGTTTGCAGCAGCTTTCGAAGGGCTCCATAAGGGTTCATGTGGCCTTAGGGTTCAGGGTTTTAGGGTTCAGGCTTCGAAGGGTTTTGGGGTTGTTAAAGTCTTTAAAAGTTCGGGCTTTAGGCCCTAAGTTATTGGGTTTGGGATTTAGGGTAGCACATCGTGCTGTGCTCACCACACACCCAACGGGTCCAAGCAGCCGCAACGCCTATTCCGACCTATCACAAGCACCTCTGTAAACACCCGATGAACCCCATAAGAACCCTAAACACTAAACCCTAAACCCTAAACCCCTAAACCCCAAACCCTAAACCCCTAAATCCCCATAACTAAACACCCGCAAGGCCCTCTGATCATCTTCGCCCGATTGGTCTGAAGTTCCCATGTAGAGGCTCCGAGCCAAGCTCTGTTTACTTGGAGGTTCATGGGTAGTTATAAGTAGGGTTTTAACTCCCCTAATATGGTTTATAGCTATAGTTACCCTAATTATAACCCCACTTATAACTACCCATGAACCTCCAAGTAGACTTCACTGAGGGGCCCGTGCAATTGGAATGGTGTGTTCGATGTCTATTTGTTGCACTATCGCGACAATGATGAGATGTTCTTGTTTGGCATTCAGACCCCTAACCCTAAACCCTAAACCCTAAATTCTAAGATTCGGGTTTCGGCAAAACCATCAGATCCACCCCGCGGGACCTTGGCGACCGTCCTCGTCGGCGCATCGTGAGACACCAGCATTCGGGCTTCGTCGACTTCGGTCTGCATGGTCGCTTCGCCGCAGTATTGAGAACTCCAAAAGGGCGGCGATCTCTGGATTCGCATTGTCGAAGGGCACATATCTCTAGTTCTCACGTTGAGAAAGTCCCGCTCCGGCTGTTCCTCTGGATGTTCGTGGCGCCAGAAGCTGCAGGCCATGCTGCATGGCGCATCCAGGCGGGATGCCTGTAGCCCCGTCCATGATCCGTGCGCAAGTCTCCACGAACACAGCCTGAAGTGGAAGCAAGCGGGCTCATGGTTTAGGGTATCTTGTACTAGTCTTGTGGGCGCCGTTTTGGGGTTTGAAGGGTCTTCTTGATTCTACGGATCCTACCGTTTAGGCATCCCCATTTTCGGAAAGGCCCACAAGATCAAACTCAAACCAGTATTTCCAAAAACCGAAGCTCCATTCTTGCCCTAAGTCGAGCCGCAACCCTATAACCTCTCTCAGCCGTGTGGCCTTCAGAGCACACCGCCGTGGTGCATGTTTCCCCAAGCGACCAGGCTGCCTGTCCGCAACGTCGCCACAAAAGCCGTGCCAGTGGACTGAATGCTCCAAACCTGTCCCGAGCTTGGGCTTGCGATCCTTTCTGGAGCTTTATTGCGGAGTTGAGGATCTGGCCAACTCTGAAGCTTTCTTGCAAATATCTCGGTTTTAATGATTAAGCTGTTTTCACAGGGTTAGCTTTCGTGGGTTTCTATAAGGCTCTATTTTATTTCTTGACAAGGTTTGCAAGGGGCCTGGGCTGAGGGATGACGAATGACCAATCTCCAGACACTAAAAACTCTACTTGTCCCGACCTTTGGGATCATGCAGGGCTTATATATAGAAAATATAGTCCCCCCGAAACATGTACAGGTTACCTACTCTACTACTAAGAAACGATGCTGCCCAAGGGGCATCCTTGAGCTGGCTCTGCACAGAGCTGCTGTCACCCCCGCACGGTGGATGGCCCCAGGTGACAACCTTTGCTGATCTGCTCGGTTAGCAACGACACCCCAAACCTTGTACCCAAATGGCCACACTCCCCAAACAGGGTGACACTATTGGACTACACGCCTAAATCCATACATCCTGGTTTTAATGCTTTCTGAAATGCCACTCTCCCTGTCCCAAACTCAACCCCGGACCCCAAGCCCGAAACCCTAAACCAGAAGCCTCAAACCCTAAACCTCAAAGCTCAAACCAGAAGCACCAAACCCTGAACTGAACTGAACTGAACTGAACTGAACTGAACTGAACTGAACTGAGCAGCGAGAGGTCCGAAGTCCTGTGCTAAAGAAGACGGCTCAAAAGCACCAAGGTGCAGCCTGGAAAAGCGGGTAACATGCAGCCCCTAACATGCAAGTGAAACGGAAAGAGGAGGCAGACCCGGAGAGAAACACCAGAGGCAAGCGCTCAACGGGAGCCAGCCAAAGCCGGCCAGGGAGCAGCGCAAGGCTAACAGCCAGCGGAGCTCAGCCAGGCGGACAGGGGCTTAAAAACAAACAGAAGCATGATGTTCGTCACACGGCCGCCCAGCGGGCCGGAGCGCGAGCAGCAGTGTGACGAGCATCAGCAGAAGCAACTCAGAAGGAGACAGGTCACTGAAGTAGGCCGATGACTCGCACCGTCACCACACCGACCAGAGGCTGAAACAGCAGACTGACAGACTGTAGGCACAGGCAGCGGTAAAGTCACCGATGCCACCCAAAGAAGTGGCACAGCAATGACTTCCCAGATGTTGATCCACGTCCAGAGTTTCCACAAAGATACGTGCGATCTTCGCAAAACTTGCTCCAAGAGCAGGCAGACAACACCGATGGACTTTGCGGTCCACTCCTTGCCAACGAGGGATGCCAGGATTCCAGCCAGACCAGTTGTAACGAACCTGAGGCCGCCTTCAGGGTCCCGAGTACAGGCCGCAGTACTCGGGAAGTCGCGACCACACCGGGGTGGAGCACGGGCGCTAGCAATGGCACGAGTGCGGTACTAGCTGGGGTCTGGTATAGCAGTATCTGTAAGAACGGCGAGAGCCGAACAGGCAGAAAACTACCTCGAGCCGAGACACCTCAAACCCTGAACCCGAAATCCCAAAACCTTAAACCCCATAACCCTAAACCGCAAAGCCTAGATAATGAACCCTAAACCCCAAAACCCTAAACCCAAACCCTACATAAAGATTAAACCCTAACACTCAAAACCCTGGACCTTGTACCCTAAGACTCCTCCAAGGAAGGTCAAAGGTGCAGTTCCGTCCCGACGGATCGCTGCGAAGGCGTCTGAGCAAGCCTCGGACAAGGTGGAAGCTTAAAAAGGAATCAAGTGTTTGGGGTACCTTTTTGAGGGGAACTATAGGGTTCTAGATAGAGTTCCCCTTGAAGGTTAAGGGTTTAGGGCCAGTTTAGGGCCTATTTTATGTATCATGGGAGCTAGTAACAAAGTTTAGTATTGGATAGCTGGCTTGTGTGCACTTGTTGCTCCCCAAAACTCGCCCAGAAAATCTACATTTGGTTGATTTTACGTTGGCAAGTTGGGCGGGTCCAGGATGGTTTTTTGTACCCGGCTTGTGCACTTGTTGCTGACGTTGGCTAGTTTTCAGCACCCCTTTCGCCGGCGGCGGACACGGCGTGCCCCACCTGCATGCCACCTGCACGCCGGCTGCATGCCGCTGCACCTCCCTCGCCGGCGGCGGACACGGCGCGCTCCACCATCATGCCGCCTGCATGGCGCTGCACCCCCCTCGCCGAGCGCGCGCCACCTGCATGCCGGCTGCATGCCGGCCTACTTATTTAACCAAGCTATCTGATGAAAATGATTTAATTTTAAGGCCCCCTACATGAAAATCCTGAACCTCGAGAAGCACAAGGTTGCTGTGGCAATGGGGTCCAGGGTTTACATGTTGAAACACTCGCCATCAATAGCGCCAGAGAAGGAAGCGCTCAATCTCAAGACACCCCCTGAAAACACGTATAAACAGCAAACAAGCCCCTATAGAACTCCGTAACTCCGTAACTCCGTAAAGCAGAATATAAAGGACTGCAACAAAAGGGGCTTGCGGCTTGCAGCCAGAAGACTTGAATTTGCTGCACATCCAGTAGCTGCTCCTGGTTCTGTTGCGACGGGATGCTTCCGGATCTGCGTGTTTCTATCGCCTGAACCCTAGAATTACACCTTAACCCCCCTAAACCCTAAACCCTAAACCCATAAACCATGAAAAAACAACTTCGGTTCAATGTTTGGGGTGTGGGCTTTAGGTCCGCTGAGGCCCGAAGTCGCGAACCTGCTCCAAGAAGCAGAAGAGAAGACTAAGATGACCAGGGAGCATGCTGGGATTCTATCGGCGGACAGCAAACCCAATAACATGTCTGATTTGGAAATTCGAAGCTTCTGCCGTGCTTCAAACTCTGGAAAATCCTTTCGCTGGATCCATGGCATTCGTCATGCTGCCTTTGAGAGGTGAATCACCGGCGTATCTTTCCAGCTCCACGGCACAGGCTGGTGCTCAGCACCCTCGTGCCCAAGTTGTGGACTTCGATCCCTGAAAAGAAAGCAGCCTTTACGACGCTAGACCCAAGGCCAAAAGCCAAAGCCAAGACCGTGCCATATCTTCAAAGTGCAGAGCTGTACCTAACCCAAAACCCTAAACCCTAAAGCCCTAAAGACCTAAAGCCCTAAACCGTAGAGCTGTACCTGCAACAGCGAGCGCAAGTCAATGACGCTTCCGCTTAAGGGCGCCTGAACTGCAGCGCAGTTTCCTCCCCGATCCTGCAGCTGGCACCCAGAGACGGTTTTGGACTTTGGGTTTAGAATGTAGGGTTTTGGGGATTTTGGGTAGAGGGTTTTGGGGTCTTTGGGTTTAGGGTATGGGGTTTTGGGGGTTTGGGGGTTTAGGGTATAGGGTTTTGGGGGTTTGGGGGTTTAGGGCCAAAGGTTTTGGGGGTTTGGGGGTTTAGGGTATAGGGTTTTGGGGTCTTTGGGTTTAGGGTATGGGGTTTTGGGGGTTTGGGGGTTTAGGGGAAAAGGTTTTGGGGGTTTGGGGTTTAGGGTATAGGGTTTTGGGGGTCTTTGTGTTTAGGGTATCGTGTTTTCGGGGGGCTTTTGGGGTTTAGGGTATAGGGTTTTCGGGGTTTTTGGGGTTTAGGGTATAGGGTTTTGGGGGCTTGGGGTTTAGGGTGTAGGGTTTTTGGGGTCTTTGTGTTTAGGGTATAGGGCTTTGGGGCGTTTGGGGTTTAGGGTATAGGGTTCAGGGTTTGAGATTTGGGGTTGCCGGTTTTAGGTGATTGAAACCAGATACAACAGAACTCTACTTTTGAATAATGCAGGAAAACATAGGGATTACGGCAGAAGAGCGGTCGTTGTCGTTTGGCGGCATTGCAGATACTATGCAGTTCCAATAGCAGAAAAGGCCACTAGTAGCACCAGTAGCAGCAGCAGTAGTTGAATTAGCTCGTAGCGGTAGCACCATCACCACCGCCACCACCACCACCGGAACACACTGCCGGAAACAGCCCAATCACCACAGAAGGGGGCCGCGGGCCTCTTGTCCCCAACACACAACAGAGCCATCCGCCAGGAGGGCGGCAAATGCGCCGCGAGCTGCCTCGCGGGAAGTCTGACTCTGGACTAAGCGTCTGGGGGTTGAGGTGGGGTTTCGCGGCTTCCGGTCCGGGGTTCGGGTGGGGCTTCCGAACCAAGCAAACTGCCAACGAAGGGCACAGGTGTCTCGCTCCCAACGCGAGACTGCTTGAACCGGCCCTGAGCTACAGATGCTGTTAAAGTCAGAAGTCGTTGATGAAATTTCACAGTGAAGCCTAGTCCACCAAGACTCTGACCCTTTGACTTCTGCCTGGATCTCAGACACAGCGACCAGCCGGTCAGCCACGGAATGGCAGTCCCCGCCGTCACCAGGCGAACCCCAAGCCACCACCTTGGCTTTAGGGTTGAGGGTTCAGGGTTTAGGGTTCACATCTTTGCTGGTCTCAAACATCGTCATCGTCGTCACAATACCGCGAGCATCATAACTATCAGAGATGATCCATCTTCATCTTCTTCCTCGGGGGTTGGGGTTTAGGGTTTAG